CCTGTCTTGGGTGGGAAGGGGGGAGGGAGCAGAGGACAATCGTAATGGGCTCCTGGGGTTTCCGTCCCCCTTCAGAGGTGCTGAGACGATATGACCTACCGCTCAATCCATGAGGGTGGGATCATTCCCAAAGGACCAATCACAGTAGGGCATCACCTAGGAAACAGTGATTGGTCCTGGAGCTGGCATGTGACTCAGGATGAGCCAATCAGAGATCGTCGTTTTCATTTTTTCCAAACCAGGAGGCTAGGAGTAATGGCTTTCTTTCCTAACCCCGGAAAGCTCAAGGCTCCTGTCCATGGAGCCACGGAGAATCTGACAGTCTTCTAAGTGCCCCGCAGAATCCCTCCTACCTTCTGAGTTGCCTGAGCCACTTGATTTATTTTATTTTATTTTTTACTTTGGTCTATTTTAGTTTGGTTGCTGTCATTTACAAATCAGAGTTCTGAGTAATACATCAGCCCACCCTGGTTAGGCCAGGCTGTAGCTGGGAATGGCATCAGGCGGCAGGAACAGCTTGTCAGCAACACCCAAGGCTCTGGACTAGTTGTTCTGAAAGAAGCCTTGGTGACTGTCTAAGTCCTGCTCCCCAGAGACCTTTCCACAGATGGGAGGCTTGTTCAACCCAGAGCAAGAACCAGACCCATCGGTCCTGGAGGTGGGTCCTGTGCTATGCCAGTGTGCTGGGTGGGTCCTTCCTGAGTGTCAGCGAACACTTGTGTATCTGAGAGACAATGTTAGAGAGAAAGAGCATCAAGCTCAGAGTGGGCCTGGGGAAGGGCACAAAAGCCCAAAGAGGAACTGAATCCCAGGAAGGGAAAAGGACCCCCCACCCCACCCCCACCAGAAAGATCTAAGAAAGAAGCACAGTCCTGAAGGAACAGGATGGAACTGGGCAGGAGAGGAAGCCTCACTCTGGGCTCCAGGAGGCATGCCAGCGAGAGCCAGCCAAGGGAGCCTGGGGGAGACCTATCCAAAGACGTTGTGCACCGGGCCCACCTCAGCCTCTCCCAGTACTGCAGCTGTGTCTGGTTGGCTCTGTCCCTAGCAGCTGTGTATCTGGAAGATGGGTATGTGTGTGCACGCGTGTGTGCATGCACAAGCTGGTGCAGAAGTGAATGCAAGAACACCCAGGAACTGAGGGCCACTGAGATGGGTCCTAGGATGATCTGTTCCTCTATGCGTGTGTGTGAGTGTGTGTGTGTGTGTGTGTATGAGTGTGTGAGCGTAGGAGAAGTGCATGATGTTTGGAAATATGAGCAGTACACATGGGGTGAGCAAGTCTGTGGATGAGGTTAGGGTAGGAGAGTGACAAGGGCTGGAAGCATCTGAGGCAGTGGGTGACAGTGGGAAAGCCCGTGGGAATGCCCTGTGGGAGGCGTCAGTACACACAGGCTTCCACAGATCTAAAGAGGCCGTGCAAGCAGGGTCCCGCCACAATGTGTGGGAGTAGATGGGGTGTCTGTCTGCTAGTGTGTAAGGTGAGGGGGACACAAGTGAGGGGTCGCACGGTGAGCTGCTCCCTGCAAGACCTATTTCCTGCCAGCCTTGGGGAGGCAGCAGGTAGCTCCACACTTCAGCACACTCCTCCTCAGCAGCCCAGAAGAATCCAGAAGGGCAGTGGAGGCTGCTGCACCCAGCCCCTCCCCAGCCTGGCAGGTACAGTACAAGTCCTGCCAAGAGACTGGACTCTTCACCCTGATTGCTACCACCCTCACATTTGGTCTCAGGGTTGGGAGAGACGCCCTCATGTGCTCTGTGGGGCAGGCAAGCGCGCTGAACCCGTAGTCAGCTGCCTGCTGGGGCTCCCTCCAGTCTGTGAGCTGCTCACATAGATGGTCCAGGGGGCAGCTAAAGCTTATTTCTTAAGAACCAAGAGCTGTTGGCACATACCTATTATCCTAGCTACTGGGGAGGCTGGGGCAGGAGTGCGAGGCCAGCTTTGGTAATGTAGGGAGACCCTGCTTCAAAATAAAATAAAAAGAACTGGTGATGTAACTCAGCACAGCTCTAGAGTTTTCACCCAGCTCATGTGAGTCCCAGTACTGGGAAGAAAAAAAAAAGGAACCAAGAGCTGTGGTCTCGTGGAAACACCAGGACTCTGGCATGTTTCTGACCTGCAAAGAGAGGGTGGGGTCCACTGGGGGCTGCTGATCCCCTCTCAGGGAAGCCAGAGCCACCAGGAAATCAGGACTCCGATTTCCAGGCTCAGGCTCAGGGTCTGGGTCCCCAGGCCTCTTGCTGGTGCTGGGTTTGGAACAGGCCTGGCCTTGGTCACATCTCAACTTCTAAATGTGCTGCATGTTCAACCCCACGTGCCAAACCCACTGGACAATTGGTCCCTTCTGGTTGTTCCTTTGCTTTATCCCAACCAGATTCTCTCTCTTCAGGCCTCTCCTGCCCAAACCAAAGGGCACTCATGGTCCTGCAGGTCCCCCGGCCCAGGGATTGACAGGGTCAGCGGCGGCTGCACTCCAATTTCACAGAAGGCTTCTGGGGAGACCCCCTCGTCGTCCCCCAAGCTCTGTGCGTGACCCACACCCGATCCCTCCTCCCTCCCGGATGATGAAATCGGCTTGCTCTGGACCTGTTCATGCCATAAGATAAATTGTCAAAATGTTTTGATCTAATTGGGTCTTTTTCAAGTCAGCTGAAAACCATCAAGCAGGGAGCCAGATGGAGCCGGTGATTAATGAGCGACATTTGGTTGCTTCTCCACATCCATCACGGAGCCCTGTTTGGGCAGAAGTATTCCAGTCCTCTGCCAGGAATGGGTATGCGATGCCGAAAACTGAGGCCACTGCTTCTGTCTGCTCCTTGGTCTGTGGGCTGCGAAGGGCGGCCTTTCCCTAGGAGGCTCTGGAAGCTCAGGCCGCCAAGAGGCGGCCCTGAACAGGCCCCAGGCTTGGAGACCGCCTCTTGTCCCCAAGTCCCAGCCCTTGGGAGTCACATATGAGGCTGTCACACCCAGCAAAGGGAAAGTGCAGGGAAGGGGACATGAAGAATTTCTGCCTGTCCCTCTATCAGATTGGGAGCCAGGGCGCTGAGGCCCCCCCCTGAGCATCTGCCTCCTTCTACCTGAAACCACTTGCTCTGGGTGGAGGAGTTAGAGAATTTGAGGGAAGTTCCCCAATGTACAGAGAAATGGCCTCCATGCTCTCCCAGGGCCCTGGTGCTCTCCAGTATGGCTGCCCTAGGCTGGGCCTCCCTCTGTGTGAGGTCTACCCTTTTCTGGGCTTCCGGTGGCTCATGGGTAAAATGCAGGTGGGGTCCAGCCCACTGTGTGTCCACCTGCAGTTGGATTGCCCTGGCTGCATGTTGACATCAGCCACACTGCTGTGAGGCCTGTACCCAGCACTAAACCAGAACTGGCCGCGGGCCCCAGGCATTAGTAGTTTCCCAATAGCCTCAGGTGAGTCTAATGTTTAGTCCAAGCCTGGAGCCCATGAACAAGAAGGAGTCACGTCCTCAGCCCGGCTGAGCGTCCCTGGCTGCTGAGCCTAGAATGGCCTTGATTTCCTCATCTGAAGGTGGACCCGGCCTATTCAAATTAACTGTGGCCTCTTGAGGGGATTGAAGGCAGGAGGAGTCTGGAAATAGACTGGATGGCCCCTGTAAGGAGAAGCGGGTGGCCCATCCTAGACATTCCTGCTGAGGTCGTACGTGGCTGTGTATCCTCAGCTCCTCCAACAAACATTTACTGAGCACCAAATACATGGCAGGCCTCCCAGGAGCTGATAAACTGAAATGTCCCTGCCCTGGAGAACCTTAGGGTCAAGTGGGGAAGGAGGGCATTAATCAGTAATCACCCAAGAATGTCACGAGGTGCCAGGGAGGCCAGGGGACGGCCTGGGCACCGACTGGGGACTTGGAAGGCTTTTCTGAGCAGATGGCTTTTGAGTCAAATTAGAGAACAAGGAGGCAGGCAGGTGGCAGCAGGGGGAGTCTAGGCTCGTAGGAGGCCTTCGCCCCTCTCCTGCCCTGTCCTAAGTTTGCATTCCTAGATAAAGGTGCAGGCTTCTCTACAGACAGGCGGTTAAGAGCAGGAAAGTCACCATGCAGACAATGGCCGGCCAACCTCTCTGTGTGGAAATCTTCCTAGGGTCTGTCTCCGGGCTGCCTCGGAGCTCTGTGAGGTTGACACCTACCAGGGCCCCATGGTGTCTGAGGCACAGTAGGTGCCTGTTTCTTTGTATTAGTTGGTGGGCAAAATAAACAGTCCCTTATCCCTGTGGCCATACTTACCCCAAGCCCTCAGGGAGGATGACAGGAAACCTCTGCTCATCCTCTTGCTCTGAGGAAGCCATGCACCCAGTGCTTCCCAGTTCTATGTCCTCAGCACCTCAATGAAGAGCCACCAGGAGAAGAATAAGCTACCCAGCTGATGAATTGCTACCCTTACTTTATATGCCAATTTCCTGCCCCGTCCTTCCTATAAGGACCTGACCACCAACAGCTCCATCCTCTAAGATGCCGTCATTGCTTGTGTTACTTTGGGGTACCCCTCTCCACATCTCAAAGATGACAAGATCTCTGAGTTCTGGGGCATGTGTGGTTTGCTCACCATTCAATCTGCAGCACATAGTAGGCGTTCAATAAATGATGAACCAATTCACCATGGTCATAAGAACAGATACTGTTACGACAGCGTTGAAAGTTAATTTGCACTCTGGCAAACAAGAGGATGAGGGCAAGGAGGACTTTGCTCCTGCCGGTGTCACGGATGAGGAGCCCTGACCAGCCCTGGCCTTTCTCAGCCTGGTAGGCCAGGGGCTGAGAGGTAGCAGTTTGGAGTCCCACCTCCAGTTCTGTTGGAAGCCAGGAACTCTCCAGCCTGCAGGGGCTCAGCAGACTGTTTACTCCCCAAAGCGAAACTCAGTGCTGCCTCTACTCTGAGCAGATGCCGCCTCTCTCAATGTCCCCCGCCATGTGCAGCGCAGCCCCGGCCCCCGCCGCACGTCTCCCCAGCTGAACACTTTAGGTTAAAATTTCACACTCACCCTGAAGTGGTTCCCAAGACCCAGGATTTGTTTTTCCTGATGACCCTTTACTTTGATCAGTGAGACTCAGCCAAGTGGAATTTACTGTGTAATTTACTTTAGGCAGCTGGGAAGTCAGCTCTTCTCAACAGTCTTGGGCACCTCCTTCCCTGGTCTCATTCAGGCCTGACCCTGACGGGGAGAAGCTAGACGTGGCGGCCAGAGGCGCTGCAATTCGCAGGGCTGGCCTTTGGGCCTGCCTCTGTCAGCTCGTGCCTGCGTGGCCTTGCGCAGGCCACACCCAAGCTAGATATTCTGTTTGCCCATCTGCAAAACATAACTGCGAGGACCTTCTTGTGGTTATTTTGAGGCTTACAAAACCCAATGCTTGCTGGGCATTGTGGGATAGGCCTGTAATCCCAGCAGCTTGAGAGGCTGAGGCAGGAGGATCGTAAGTTCAAAACCAGACTCAGTAACTTAGCAAGGCCCCAAGCAACTCAGTGCTGTGATTCTGTGGCCTAACCCTGGGAGAGCACAATGACTGATCCTGGACCCCCAAACAAATTTCCCTTTATGACCTTCCTTTAGTACAGTATTTTTCAACTTTGCCACCTCTGGCCCCTACCCTCTAGGTGCCAGTGGCATCTCCCCCATTTATGAGGCAAATGTCCCAGAGGTTGCCCAGGGTCCTCTAGGGAGACAGTTGTCTTCTGGTCAAGAGCTGCTGCTTTACAGGACATTGGTATTTCTGCCTTCATACACGAGAAGGGGCACATTGCACAGTTGAGGCCAAGGGTGCAGTTGGTTCCAACCTCTAATGAACTGGGTGAACCTAGACAGTCCCTAGCCTTTTTGGGTCTTAGAGTCTCATCTGTGGAACGGGTGCAAGAGATGGTCTGCCCTGTAGGATTTCTCCACCTAGTGCTGAGTCCTTTCCCAGGAAGCCCACTCTTAGGGTAGGGTAGGTGATAGGGTAGGTGGGCAAAGATGGGGCAGGAACAGCTTCCAGATCATGAATCCACCATGCCCTTGGAGGCTGGCCCCATGGAGGGCCCATCGGTGGCTAAAATTCCTATTCCTTGGAATTCCTTCGTAAAACGGTATCAACTCGCAACATGATGTTAATAATTAGAGCCACCATTGGAGGGACAGGCTGGGAGTGAGGCCCTGTGCTGAGATCTGCATATGTATCACATGACCTAGTCTTCACAGCAACCCAGCTGACTCCCTGAGTAAGTGTAGCCAGCGTCAAGGACACCCAGCCTCAGCAGGTGACATATCCTGTCCAAGCCCACAGAGTTGTGGAGCCTGGATTTAGATCCATCTCTCAAATTCCACTCTCCTCCAAGGCACCTGCCCACCAAGACTCGGGCTCTCTGGCTTTTTGAAGACCTGCTGATTAAAGACCTTGAAACTCTTTCCTGGCCCTTGACCATTGGCTCAGGTATGAGGCCCAGACATTGAAGAGAATTTTTCTGGGGTGGGTGGTAACCAAGGGCCAGGCTCATCTTACCTGCTTGCTATGTGACTTTAAGCAAGTCACATGTCCTCTCTGACCTCATTTAAAACACCACTGAAATGCATTCTTTCAGGCTTGGTGCTAAGTACTAGGAATAAAGCATGACCAAAACAGCATAAGCCTCTGCCCTTGTGTAATTTACAGTACGATGAGAGAGACAGGTAGTAAACAAATAAATAAACAAATGGAAGACCAACAGAGTGGCCAATAGACTATTTATGAAGTGTTTGGGAGATCTGAGTGTAGACAGTGACACTTTAAGCTGAGCTGAGGAAGAAGAGGAAAGGCCAGCCATGACATTCAAAGGGTGGTAGAGGGGAATGGATGAATTCCAAAATGAGAAAGTGCATTAGTCAGGACTGGCTAAGTTAAGATGCTGTAACAAGCAATCTGAATTCTCATGAGGTAAAACAATCAAAGCTTATTTATTGCTCATACTACAGGGAAGTGGAGAGAAGGGCTCTGTTGCCTATTAGCATGTTCTATAGGCATTCCATGAACATTTTTTGAGACTACCTTATCAACACAATGCTCGAGGGTTTTGCTGAAACAACAATTGCTGGCAATTAAGTGCTTCTGCTGGAAAACTGGAAAGACAAAAACTCACCATTTCTACTCAAAACTCTGGCTATAATGAATCGCGTAGCCCACTCTATAGCAGAGGCTCAAGAAATGTAACCCCCATGTGCTCAGAAGTCAGAGAGAGGCAAATGGGAGAAGTAGCTCTCCACTAGGAAGGCAAAGTAGAAGATTCATTATGGAAAACAGCATGGCGGGTCCTCAAAAAACTAAAAATAGAACTACCATATGATCCGGCTCTCCCACTACTGGGTACAGATCCAAAGAAAATGAAATGGGTGTATCAGAGAGGTACCTACACCCCTGGGTTTACTGAAGCCCTATTCATAGTAGCCAAATATGGAATCAGCCAAGGTGTCCATCAATGGATGAGGGAAGAAACATGTGAGATGTTTATGTTTATATATATATACACACACACACACACACACACAAGAGTGCAATCCTGATATTTGTGGCAAAATGGTTGGAACTGCAGGACATCATGTTAAGTGAAATAAGCCTAATAAGCATTAAAAGCCACAGCTCATGTTCTCACTCATGTGTGGAGGCTAAGATGTTGACCTCATAGAAGAAGAGAGTAGACTCGTGGTTACTGGAGGCCTGGAAGGGGAGGGGAGGGTGGACGGCGGTTGATCACAGACGCCTAAATGGGGTTAGCCCAGAGAGAGCAGGTCCAGGGTTCGGCAGCACAGTAGGGTGGCTGCCGCTCGTGACTTGTTATGGGTTTCATAAAGAATTGGAAGAGAACAAGTTCAAAGATTCCCAACACAAAGAAATGATAAATAAGGAGGTGGAAATGCTAATCACCCTGTTTGATCATTACATGTCATAGCATTTAATGAATCATGCTGTAACACCTAAAAAAACATGGTTTTTTTATATATCAGTTGAAAATAAAAGCAAAAGCAAGACAAAACAAAAATGCACCTGTCATAAAACAAAGAGGAAAAGTGCACCTGAATCCTGAGTTGGAAGGTCCTATACCCTGTCCCCCAGTATGGCATGCGCCACTCAAGGTAGGGCTCCACCCTTGCCTTGCTGGGGCCACACCCTGGGCCTGTCCTTGACTCCATCCATGTGACTCAGTGTTGGAGACCTGGAGACAGTTCAGGGCCTGTGCTGTGTGCCTGGATTCCAGCGCCTGGCGAGGCTTCAGTGAGCAGGTGTGCAAGGGAGCCTGTGACATCTTTTGGATCCACCTGGAAGCTTCCAGCATCCCTGCCTGCCCATCCATCGGTGGTCCCCTGTGAAGACAGGGCAGGATGGGCAAGCTGAACGCAGCAGCGGTGTCATCGCTAGGCACGGGTCCCTGCACCCAAGCGTCCTGGGTTCAAAATCCCAGCTTGCAGGACAGAAACGTTCAAAGTCTTGGATTCCTCATCTGTGAATGGGAATCGAACCTACTCCAAGGTTGTTAGTGGAAGAATTAAAGTGGGATCGGGAACCTCAAGTGCACGTAGGGAAAGAAGATGAAAGAGGGAGGTGAACAGCTCTGGGCCTGCAGCACAGCCCTACTCCGTTTTATCGAGTCCCTGTTCTGATGGGAGAGGGACGCTTCCTTGATTCACGTGTCTGATGATCCGAGAGAGGCCCATGACATGACTCTTGCTCCTGTGGGTGACTTCCCTGTTGCTGGAAGCCAGGTCTGTGAAGAGAGCACACCACGCCACAGCATTTCCACTTAGCCCCAGACACTCCTTTGGGGTGGTTTGTGCTGCCCTCCGGGTCAACACAAAATCTACCCAACCCCTCTGCGACCAGCCACTTCCCGCCCTTGCCCAGGACAGAGGCCGCCAGCCCCTGCCTTTGAAGCCTTCCCTGCGGGCCAAGTCCTGGTACTTGGTCCTGGTTCAGCTTCTTTCCCTCCTACAAATAGAGCTGGGACTATTTGGGAAAGATTTTGCCACAACAGTCTCTGAGTGCTAATGAGTGTGACTTTGGAGAGAATTTTCCATTAGAAGGTAAGAAAAAAAAAAGACAAATCACCTCAAAATAAAATAAGCAGCACTGGGCCCTCCTCTCCTGACCATGTCCTGTCTGCCAGGGGACAATTCTACCCGATGCCTGGGCTCAAAGTTAAAGCTGGTTTTTTTGTGTTTGTTTGTTTTTGTCTTTTTAGGCTGCAGTTGGCCTGTGTCTTGAACACCTACTATGTGCCAGGAATGCTGCGCATACAGGGGGAAAGGTTGCAGCTTCAGCCTGCTCTCTGGTAGCCTTACAATTTCAGAGGACAAGCCCAAATAAAATATAATCAAAAGAGGGTGAGAAATGCTGATCCGTGGCAAAGACAGGGAAGCCTTCCTGAGAGGAAAGAGGCAGGCAACTAGGGTGCCCTAGGGTATGGTAATGGATGGCGTCTTGTGGCCTGGGTTTGAATTCCACCTCTGCTATTTATCAGCTGTGTGACCAGGGCCAGTTATTTAACTTCTCTGTGCCTCCTTTTCCTCGTTCATCACATTAATTGAATGCATACACATATGGTCCAGGGCCTGCCACAGAGTAAATGCTCATTAAAAGTGAGCTACTAACTAGGTATTATCTGTTAAGTGGGGCCAATAACAGAGCTTCTTTTACTGCCAGGATAAAGAGGGGAAAATTCAGGTGGAGGACATAGGGCAGGAATGGGCACGTGGCGAACATGAGAGAGTTTTGCTATTTATTATCATGGCGCCTGTCCCTGTCGACAGCAGAGGTGGGGAAACGGGGAGGGGGAGCCAGGGGCAAGCAGAGCACAGCACTAATTAGCTCCCTTTCCTCTTTCCGGGTTCCAGGCCCTCCACGTGGCCCCACGCCCTTGGCTGCCAAGTGTCACCTCCAGCTCCCCAGCCACGAACCCCTGGAGGCTGGAGAAAGGAAGGGCTGATCTCCGCGACCCTCCGGGCTCTCAATCAAATACACTGCTTTTCTGCCTGGCTTCACACATTGTGAAAGCCACCGAGTGCCGCTTGCCCAGGGTCCCCACACGGGCTCCTCCTGACCCGCGATGGGTCCAGGCCCATTATTGCAGTGGGTGTGCTGCTGGAGTCCCTGGGCCCTGCGCAGTGACCAAGACCAATGGATCCTTTGGTGACTTCTGAAAGGGCATCGCTCAGCGCCCTGGGGTGACAGGGGCCCGACGGCGCTGAGGTGGAGGAAGGGACTCAGGACTGTTGGGGAGCAATCTCTGGAGTTTTGCCTTTTTGGTCCCTCAGCCACCTTCTGCAAGCGTCATTATACACTCTCACTGTTAGGTTAGAGGGAAAAAAAAGTGCTGTTAATGAAATGCATATAAAAGTAAAACACGCCATGCAAATTAGACACCTTTGGGGATTTTGAAAAACTTGTTTGAAGGACTAATTAAGAAGCTATTAAAAATAATTAATAATAATCTGCTTTCCCCAAATTCTTTTCAGTTCAGAAGCGTAAGTGACGCCATTGCGATTTCACTTCTTGCAGCCCAGAAGTTGTGGGCCCCTCATTTGCCCCGCGGTGGTTTTTTTTTTTCTGTTTTTTTTTTTCAGTAGCAAGTCCCTCAGTTACCTGGAAATATTTTCCTAAACTTCTGATGGCTCTTTCCCCAGGTGATCCTCTCCGTGCCCTTCCTCCTGGGTCGCTCGCTCGGCTCCCACAGCACATGCGGTCAGTGCCCCATCGCGGGAGTGACTCCGAGTCTCACTGGGAAAAAATTGTTGTGAGTTACAGGAAATTAAAAAATTCCTGCAATACCAGCCCACTTCTCAAAGTCGATCTGTGGTATCCCAGCATCCACTCGGCTCTGAAGTCAGGCCAGAATGATTTTTGAAGAGTAATTTCAAGACTTATAAAGGGTCACGTCGGGTATTGAAGCCATATTTGCTTCTGTGTTTTGTAAATTTCGAACTCATTACTGAACCTTTGTCTCTTACGCCCCCATGTCTGGCTCTGACTTGGCCCTCATCAATCTGAGCCTTAAAAATCTAATGAAAAATGCCGAAACACATTTTGCATGTGGAAATGTGATAAAACACCAATTGTTCCCAATTTGAGGAGGAATCGGCCTTCCCGGACGGGCAGGGAAGCCAGCCACTGCCAGGTCCCCACAGTCCCCAGGAATAAAGAGAAACCAATAGGATTCCCACTGTGCTCTGAGCCCACGGCTCCCTGTCACTGAGATCAGCCACAGACCCCATCTGCACCACACGCCTCCCAACTGTGCCTGCTCCGGGTGCTGGGCTCGGGGTGCCGAGATCCTGGTGCTGAGCTCCAGGTGCTGGGCTGGAGGACTTGCAGCGTCACCATTTCCTCCTGGAAGACAAGTATCAGAAGACTCTGAGTTCCCACAGGATGATGCTGGCACCTATGTGGTTTCCAAATCACAGCAAAGCGAAGCTGTGGCTGCCTTGAGAATTTCATGTGGTGTCTCATAGTGGACAGAGAGCCCCACCACGGGGACCCTTGAGGGCTCCAGAGAAACCTGAGGAGAACAGAGAGGCAGAAGATGATGGTCTGGTTTGCAACCAGAAAGAGGTCTGTTCTCCAACAGACAGCTCTGCTGGATCCCAGCTGTGTAGCCTTGGATAAGTCCCTTGCCTTCTCTGAGTCCTGGTCTCCTTGTGGGCAAAGCGCGGTGGTGATGCCGTTTTTCAAGCCAGTGCAGAGAGTGAGTGCAGATGGGGGCTCAGAACGGAGGCTCTCGTTTGGGCTCAGATGGTTCTGGATTCTACTGGGGAAGGGGAGGCAGAGCACTGAGGTGGTTGCTGGGGAGTCAAATCTCTGATACTCAAGAGTTTTGAGTACCACCCCCAAAACTCTGGGTGCAGGGACGATGGCAAGCTCTGTTCTTTAACACCCAGCCTGACACCTCCTAATGAAATGTAAATGAGGGTTCTAACGAGCCTGGCTTGTGCTTGGGAGAAGGTGCCAGCCGACAGAATAAACAAGCAGCATCGTGCTGAGCGGCCCCTGAGCAGGAGGCCAACGGCCTCCTCCTGTGGGGTGGCCCCAAGCAGGGTTTCAGGAGGCTGCCTCTGTGTGACAGGAGCTCAGCCAGGAGGATCAGCATCATTGCTAAAGGCCTAATGACCCAACAGGAAGTAGATCCATCCTGACCTTGGAGAATCCGGCTGGCCACTGTGGCACCCTGGTGGGAGCTGCTTGGAGAGAACCCCCCGGCCGACCTGGAAAATCACTGTTGAGGGATGCGGACCAGCTGACTGACTCTAAATGGCTGGTGGCCTTGGACCAGGTTGGCTTCTCTGCCAAAGTCCTCGTCTTGAAAATGACAAATAGCCAGGTGGGCCTTCAGTCCCCTAAGACAACCCTCTGAGATGACAGTCTGGAGATGTGCCTTGTCCCAGGCTGGCTACACAGGGACCCCCTTCTCTGCATCCTGCTTCCTGAACCTTCAGCTTCCCTATCAGGCTGCCCCGTGATAACAGGGTCCCTAGTAAGGATAATGAACTAAAATGAGATGTGGTGGCGCACACCTGTAATCCCAGCAACTTGGGAGGCTGAGGCAGGAGGATCTCGATTTCAAAGCCAGACTTAGCAACTTAGTGAGGCCCTAAGCAACTCAGTGAAACCCTGTCTCTAAGTAAAATATTTTTAAAAGGGCTGGGGATGTGGCTCAGTTGTTAGGTGTCCCTGGGTTCAATCCCTAGTACAAGAAGAAGAAGAGGAAGAGGAGGAAGAAGAGGAAGAGGAGGAAGAAGAGGAAGAAAAGGAAGAAGGAGGAGGAGGAGGAGGAGGAGAATGATGATGAAGCCCTGTGCACGGGTCAAGGTACTTACACATCTTCCTCCTGCTGCTCTGGGCCCCCAGGACAGGGAGAGTGGGAGGGCGGGTGTGGCCCCACTGCTGACTTCTGTCCCCTCCACATCTTTCCTGGACCAGAGGTCTTGCAGGTGGAAATGTACAGAAAGGGAAGGTTGGGGACCCCAGAGAACACCAGGAACCCAACGCCGCAGGCTTCTCCACGCTGTTGGGAGTGGTCAGCTAGCAGGTCAGGAAGCCCATGTATGTTTGCCATTTGTCCTCGTGACCCTCACCTGGAGTGTGGGGACAAGCCAGGTGGGAGGATGCGGTTGGTGCCCCACCCAGCACCTACAGGGCAGCTGCCCAGGGCTCTGTGCTCCTTGGAGGCCCTAGAGCTGGGGACTCTGGGGGCACCACCTGCCCTGTGGGGACCCTGAAGGAGCGCTGGGAGGATTCATAACTCTGGAGGTATGTTTAGTGCTGTGCTGATGGACCCAGGATCAGAGGGACCTCAGTGAACTTCACCCTTTTAAAAGGGGCACTGTCTGATATAGAAGTGGGGGCCTTGAATTGAGGGTGATCAGAAATTACCTAATGCAGGCACCCAGCATGACCAGCTAATTATTTTGTACCGGTGTGCGAGGGCAGGGTGGAGGCTGTCTGCTGTTTCCTCAGCACTTGGCGTAGAGGAGGTGGTCAGTAAATGTTTTTATGTTAATCAACATATAAACAAATAAGAGAGTCGGTCACTCGGGAAACCTGGCCCAGCAACCAGCCTGGGGAGAGGCATGACTGAGGGCCCTCGGCTGTGATCTCTCCCCAGGGTCCTGAGCTCCGTTTCACCAGGCCACACCCCGGGCAGGATGGAGTCTGGGTTGGGGAGGTGACCATGCCCTACCTCCACCCTACGCCACAGGGTCCAAGCTGCTCCTAGGTCACCTTGTGTTGGCTTCGGCCGCCCTGGCCTGGTGCACTCCTTCCACCTGAGGCAGATTCATAGCTTGAGCCTAGAGAGGCCAGGTCCTGGTGCAGCCGGGCACAGCAGCCAGGCCTTGCTGGGGCCTAGGAGCAGGATGTGGAGCTGACGGGCTGCTGACCACCCTGCAGCGGCTCCTGATGGGCCCCTGCAAGCCAGCTCTGCAGTCCCGAGAGCCCATGCCACCTGGACTCACCTCTCCTCACTCAGACCTCAGATGTCACCTCCTCTCCAACACCCCAGCCAGCCGGGGCCCCAATCCAACAAGCCTTCAACATGCAATCTGCAAATGTGCTCAATGTAGTCTCCTGCGCCACCTCTGAACTTCGAGGGAGGAGATGATGGGGAGGGCCCCGGGGAGCCGTTCCCGCCTAATGCATCACACGTGCTGAGAGAGGCCAGGCCTCTGACCCTTGCAGCTCAGCCCCCAGCCCCCCTGGGGCTCCGGTTCCCAGCCACCTTGGCGGAGCCAGGAAAGCAGGGGCTGTGAGGCTGGTCAGGGAGGCTGTGTTCTTCCCATCAAGGCCACCAGTATACATCAGTTGTCCCGTCTAGGATGCCCCCAACCATGTCTCACTTCTAAATCCAAGAGAGGGAGACTTTGAAAGTGCCCAGCCCCTAAATGTCATGCAAAACCCTCAGTCATTAAGTTTAAATCTAAACTAATAACAATGACCCTGAGTCCAGTCCTTCCCACTGAGTGGGGCACCTGGCAAAGCTGTGTTCAAGGCACCAGTTTGACAATGGTTTGAGGAGGCAGTAAGCTCAGGGCTGTATGTGCAAACAGGCACCTACTGTGTGTTGGGTCATGGAATCAGGGCCCTAGGGGGAAAGGTGGCCAGTGGGGACTGCAGCAGAGGAAGTAGAGAAACTAGCTGAGAAGTGGGGGAAAAAACAGGCTTGCACTGTGAGTCAGAGAGGGGGTCTCCTGCTGATGAGCTGTGTGATCTCAGGCCCATTCCTTAACCTCTCTGAGTCTGTTTCCTCATTAATGAGACAGTCATGATAGCAGCAAATGAGTCAGTGAATGTGAGCCACAAAGAGCAGTTGGGCACAGAGAAGGTGTGTGCTGACGGCTGCCCCCCCCCCACCGTGCTCAGGCACTGTCATGGTCTTGGACTGCGCCACATGCAGGTGGAATCCATCAAGGGAGAAGCAAAAGTCTCAGACCTTTGGCTCCTCCAGCCTTCAAGGCCCAAACTGTCCTCAGTGACCCTGAGAGCCCAGGAAGCCAGGAGACCCTGTGTCCAGGTCCCTGGGTCACTTTATGCCCTCCCGGGCCCAACAGGGACCCCCTGTCCCCTCCCTGAGCTCGGGCCACTCCCTGGCTCCCTGGGCAATGGCCCTGTGGCACCTCAGGTCGGGAAAGGCCTGGCAGGGGCGGGGGGTTGCCTTCCTTCTGCAGGAGGCCCCGTGGTGGGGAGCAGGGGTGGGGCCCCACTCAGGGCCTCGTGAGTCTCTGGGACACCCTCCCCCCACACTGAGAACTCACCAGCAGGGAGGACACAGCAGGGTCCTGGCCACTCTCCCAGCAACGTGGCCTGCACAGTGACCAGGTTCTGCTGGAGACGACAGGAGTACCTCAAAGACAGGGCCTGGCCTCTGTGCAGATACTGGCCGGCTGCAGGGGGCAGTGCCAGGAGAACGGGTGGGACAGCCCATGAGCCTGGCCCCGCAGGGCAGCGGGAGGGCTGACTGGGACTCGTGGTCTACCACACACCAACCTTACGCTCTTGAGCAGCTGGTCTCACCTGTTTGAGTCTCAGTTTCCTCATCTGTGAATCTCAATGCCCCGCCCGATCCCATGAGAAAACAGAAACAGGGAACTTGTTGGCGAGGTCACACGCGGCCACCGTAAGAGATCCAGCTACGCTGCAGCCTCTCTCACCTACACCCTCCTCTCCCACCGCCGTCTGTGTCCGCACACTCCCCTGGAAGTCCCATGGCCCCTTCACAAGCTGCACGCTCAGAACTGAACTTGTTATCTGTCCCCAGCCTGCTTGTCTTGGGCACTCCTAACCTGGGAACGGGCAACTCCATGTACCCAGCCCCCAGCCCCAAATCCCTGGCCTGACTGACATTCAATAAATTTAATCGAGCATTGAGCCACGGTCCTTGTCTGTAGGTAGAACATCTTACATGATTACTGCGCTTGTCATGTCCACCTTGCTGTAACACGCACTGGACCAGCCAGGGATCCACTGAGCCCATCTTCCCTGAGAGCCCTGCTGACTCCTCACAGGCCCTCTTCTGCCCTTCACACAATCAAGCACAGCAGCCCTTTCCCACCACAGGACCTTTGCACACACTGCTGTCCAGGATGTTCCCCCCTCCACTGTGCTCATGGTTGGCTCCTGCTCATCTGGTAGGCCCAGGCGTAGAGTCACCTTCCTCAGAGGGCTGTATCTGAATGCTCTCCCTGAGCTCTCCACCCCATCTTTGACCCACAGCGTCCCAGATTTCCTGCAAGTGCTTTAAAATTCCACCACTATGTTGTGCATGTGTCCCCCACTCCAGGGGAGCCCCAAGAAGGCAGTGGCAGGGCTGTTGCTCACTGCCTGGCACTTAGTGCAAAGCTCAATAAATAAATGTTAACTGAATGTTGTACAAATAAGCGAACTTAGGCTGCGCTCGGCAGAGCAGCGCAGAGGTGTGGGAACTGGCAGCCAGAGCCCCATCCCTGGCAGATGGAAGAGGGGCCCCTCCCTGTGAGCCTCAGCCAGGCCACACCTGGCCGCCTGCAGCCAGCGGTACTCCAACCAGCTCACCAGAGACAAATTGGAGGGAGTTCAGAGGAGCAGGCCAGGCAGGATTAAGTGGAAGGAGAGGGTGATTTATACAGAAAGATAAAAGGCTTGCTTCACAAGGCTGGGCTGCAGGACGATTTCAATAACAGCCTCCAAATGTTGGCAAGGTGCATGCACCACGGGAACAGGGATGGCGCTCCTGCTGGTCACCAGGACAGACACACAGCTGACTCCAGGGTCCTGGGGCCAGGTGGGATGAAAGACCAAGGCAGGGATCCTCTGGCATCGAGGGAGAACACCCCCCTCACTCCAGCAGCCCCTCTGGGAGCTCAGGCGGCCTAGGGAAGGAGGGTTCTAGAAACCAGAGTCCGATACCCACCCTGAGACCATGCGCCAAGTCTGAGAAGGAAGATGCCTCAGCAACGTTTCAGACCAGGTTCCACAAACAGCGACCCGAAGGCCGGATCTGGCCCCTAACTGCCTTTGTAAATAAAGTTTTATTAGAACACAACCATCCAGTTACACAGTATCTATGGTTGTTTCTCAGAAAACTCAGTATTTGCAACAGAGGTTGAATGACTTGTATGGAGTGCTATCTGGCCCTTTCCAGACACCGTTTGCAACCTTGGCTTTGACCATTGATTCTTGGGGATAGTGCACATCACTTAGAAAGGGAAGGAAAATGCTCAGAGGACCCCACTTTTGCCTTAAATTATTTTTATGATAATATTTCTTAAATGTACACTCAGATATTATTAGGTAATCATCTTAGATGTTCAGCTCTTACCCAACTGGAAAACCAAACCCTACTCTTGGATTCAATTCCCATGTACTATCAGAAACATTAAAATCAACAGTATTAAAATAACGCCCGGGAGACGATATTGCTCAAGAGGCATTGCTGCTCCTGGCCTGGTGACCTGCCAGGGTGCCGAGTGGTTGCGCTTAGTAAGATGTCAAGCATGCTCCGTTTCTCCTTCAGATCCTCTTCTGCTACTGCCAGCACTCGCTCACACAGAGCACAATATCGTGGGCACAGACGCTTGCTCCCCCACATCTGGGCTTTCTCATTCGCCCACGGAATTCAAGTGCACAGTTCTGAGTGGCGCACCCAGGACACAGGGAAAACTGAGGAGAATGCGGCACAACTCAGTGGTAAGGCCTTGCCTAGCACACGCAAGGCCCTGGGCTGGAATCCCAGGACTGAAACACACACACACACGCACTTAGACATTTCATGACCATACCCAGGTAGAAGGGAACCAGAAAATAGTTACACTCATATTTTGAATTATTAGTAAAATAAAATAGAATATATATATATATATCCCACAGATGGGATGGGACTTGCCAAAATCACAGCAGGAGTGAGGCTCCAGCCAGATTTGGACGTGGGAGTTGGTGAAGTGTTCTCCCTCTCAGCCCAAGCAGGACCCTGGGAGCCCTGAAGAACAGCTGGCCAGAGCTGCTGTGGGGACAGCAGAGTTTTGCACACTGGGACCCAGAATGGGCAGCCATTAGCTGCAGCCACTAACTGCAGTGTGGCTGGCTTCCTCCAGGTGGGTGGGGCAGTGCCTTCCAGACTCAGGACTAGAGCTGAGACCAGCACACTATCTGCCGGGCTGCACTGGCTCCCAAAGGCCCCCACCAGAACTTCAGGAGCGGAATCTCTAGCAGCAGGACCCGGCCGTGGGACGCCAGCAGCAGCCAAGGCCTCTGACTTGCCCCAGAGAGTGTCAGCACCCACCCGGGTTCAGAAAGGACTGGGCCATCAGAGCCCAAAGTCCTCATCACCCTGGGGAAATGCTCAGGTCAATGGATCTCGATCATGTGGTGGCCACCTGGGCAGCTGGAGGCCAGTAGACTCCCAAACACAGTTGTGATAGCAGTTCAGTCCTCTGGGGAATCCAGCTTCTAGGGAGCCAGGCCTGGAGAGAGATGAGAGGGCCTCAGGCTTTGCAGGGGTGTGGGTCTTGGACTCGAGGCTGCGGCAGCCCGGACAGGCCCCTCCGCATGAGGAGGCCCACTCTCGGGTCAGTATGAGAAGCAGAGAGCACGCCCACCATAACAGCTTTCCAGAACAGAAAAAGGAAAAAGCCATCTGCACCTGTATCTCCTGCACAGAGCACCTATGTGAGCCTGGGGACAGGTGAGCTCAGACTAATGGGTATTCAGAAAACCCAGCCCATTTTCAGTAAAGAGCCAGGTGGTGAATATTTTAGGCTTTTGTAGACTATATATGGCTTCTTCTTCCTCTCCCTCTTCCTCCTCCTCCTCCTCTCCTCCTCCTCCTCCTCCTCCTCCTCCTCCTCCTCCTCCCCTCCTTCTCTTCCTGTTCTCCTCCTCCTCCTTCTTCTCCCCCCCACTCCTTCTTTTTTTAACAACCTTAAAAATCTAAAAGCCACTCTTAGCTCCCATGATGTCCAAACCCATGCTGTGGCCTGTGTTCCACCCACAGGCCATAGCTTGCAGACCCCGTTCTAGAAAGCACTAACTGGAAACATTTCCTACAAGATCAACTTGGCCTTCCCCACGGAGCCATAAACACCTGAGGAGCGATTATGTTCCCCTTCTCACACTCACACACACATATTCACACTCGTATGGATATATACACTCATGGCTTCCATTGGCCTAAAACACATTCTCTGGAAATAACTTCTAAATTTGCAAAGCGTGCTTGTGCCCTAGAGTTAGTCCAGGGTCAGTGTGTTACGAGCAGCCCCACCGCATCCTGGGCTGAGAAGTGAGTGGCTAGTCCCATGGGCATGGCAGGCACGAGCGGAGATCAGAGGTGGGGGGAAGGACCTTGTTGTGAGCTCGTCTGAAGGTCTCCAAACTGCCCCTCAGAGCCAGAGGCCGTTGGAAAGGAGTCTGGAGGTCTCCACTTGAGGCTGCCACACCAAACCAACAAAGCTCCTCACTTTTGCTCTTGTGGACACTGAATCTCCCTCCCAGAGTTCATCTGAAAGTAGCATTCTGTGGCACAAGGAGGTGGGTGGGTGTTCAACACAGTGCCTAGACGGTCACTTCATGCCTGGCCTCTCTAAAAGTTCCAGCAAGATTGGCCCATGTGCCTGCCTGTCTGTGAAGTGGAGGAGAAGCAGCCATCTCGGATAGCACAGGTGCTCTCTTCTTGGCCACAGTCCCCACCGCTCCCTATCGCTTATACCCACCTGTTTCACTATTGGTAGTGCCCACCTGGTGCCTGGAGACATTTTAATTTGTGGCTCTGACTCAACCCTGTCTCAGCTGCAATAAAGAAGAGCAATCGTGGTTAATTTAGTGAAATTAACTATGAAATTCAACTCAACTTGCCAATTCCTTGAATCCAAAATACCAGCCTACCAATAGCTGCCGCATTCTGCAGGTCTCAGGTGACCCTTGACTAATCCTGATATTTTTTTAATGTATGGAATTATTTATATCCCACTACATTCCAAAAAGTATTTGAGGCAGCTTGTAAATATGCACACGCCACAATAAAATTTTAAAAATAGATAAGGAAATCTGAGGGAAGGGAAATCAGATGGGAACAGTATGAGACCAGAGAAGTTAGGACACGAAAATGCACGTCGGAAAGGTCTGTGTGGTTTTGAATGTGAGCAGAGATCTGGGGTTTAGGGTGGTGAATGGAAGCTGTCCCTGGAACCTCCCTCCCCAAAGAGCTGAAGAAGTTCATTTAAACCACAATAGAAAGAAAAGACAGGAGGGAAGGCAGAAGAGAACTCAGCCCCAGCCGAAATTTCAAAAACACCAGTCAAGGAAAGAAATAGGGAGGAGAGCAAAGCAAAGCTAGCCCCCTCCACCACCCACCCACCAGAAACCACTTTGGGGTCAACAAGATATAGTAGGTCTCACAAATCCCCTCAGATCCAGG